GAGGTCATGTTCAAGTTGTACTCTAGTCGACAACTGAGAAAAAGGCCTGAGCCATTTCCATTCAAGGTAGGACTTGTCTAATGAGTACCTTTGCTCCAGGACATCTCACTGGATTGGCCAACCCTGTCAGGGATACACGCTCAATGGCCACCTCTGCCACCCGATACCCCTGCCCTGCCCTCACAGCTACTACTCTGCTGTAACCCTCTTACACTCCCAACTCCATTTTCCTGGTTATTTCTGTATAATCAACCAAGGGGAGTCAGTATTTCTGTGATGCATTATTTTTAACACTTAGTACTGAGTGACTTCCAACCTCCCAGATCTAGCTCATAAGGCAGCTACATCTAAGGCTACACTTAACTTTCTTCTTGAAAAAGATGTTACTCACAGTAGAATCTTTGAAGTGGATAAGGTGATGGAGGAAATGGAATTGGACTCTTAAAAACATCTACTTACTGATATTAGTAAGGAAAAAAAAAATGAAAAACCCACATCTGGACACTAGCCTTGTATTTCTGAGCAGTCTTCATCCCTGAAGCTCAAGGCCAGCATTCCGAGTATATCAGCATTTCATTTTAGAAATGAGATTTTTAATAAAACCTCATGCAATTTTTCTAAAGTTTTTCACATCTATTAGTATCATGGTAATAATCTTTGCTGTATACCGCAAACATCAAGAGTTCAAATTGTAGAACAAATGCTCTGAAATTCATCTTTTAAAAGAATATTATGTACCTGCAAGTGTCTTTCTGTATGGTTTTATTCATCCTAGTCTGGGTTTAATATTAATAAATATGAAAAATATGGGGTTGACTCTTTATAAACCATATTGTGACAGTTTTTGTTCATTAACTAATCAGCAGCATTTTCTTGCTCTAAGAGCTCAATAGCAGATGTTCATTTCTGAAGAATAATTTGAAGTTTCTAACAACCACTGCAGTATCTTTAGCCAAGGAGTGTGTAACAGCTAGTTGCAAGTAGAGTGCCGTAACTCTCACAACTGGCCTTACTCTAATACTGCTGCTAGCATAGTAGGAGTCAAGTTGGAAACTGGAGGGAAGTGTACACACTGTTACATTCACTGTGCTCCGAGGAGCACCGCGCGGTTCCTCTACACGAGATTTCCCTGGTAGGCAAGAGCCTGTTCTGATGAAAGCTTAGTACAGACACTAAGCCCCAGATTTCGGGGTAACTAATTCATCACTTTTCAGGGGCACCCAGCTGAAGTAAGTGTTCACACACTGTTAAGGAGAACAGCAATGCACCTTGTGCTGCAGAGAAGAAATCTCACCTACCAATGACTAAAAATTACAAGTCACAGAGGAAAGATAACTCCTAAGATAGACGTGTGGCTTGCCAAATCTACCACGTGCTGATGCCCTGGGCCTAGATTTGCACGGCCTGACTGGAAAGCCGGCCATCCGAAATCCTGTTAAGCTGAACATCACAGAAGTCTTTCATTTTGCAGGGATGTGAAAATAAAATCAGGGGGGAAAATGTTCATTTTACATAACTCTATTGGAAAACAATTTGGTGATATTTACTAAAATTACAAACACTTTGACCTTTTGATCCAGCAATCTCACTTCTGGGAAGGTGTTCTATAGCTATTTTTTCAAATAGGTAAAAGAACATAGGCTGTTTACTGCAGCAAACTGAAAATAATAAAAACAGGAAGAGACTGAGAAAAATTCAGATGTCACTCAATAAGGTACTGAATAAATGATAGCACATCTACTATAAAAGGTATGCATATGGCGTATGTATATAATAGTGTTTATCTACAATTACAGAGATCTCCAAAATATACTTTAAGTGGGAAAAAAACCCAAAGCAGACAATAGTGTATATGTTAGCTTTGCTGTACAGAAGAGCAACAATCAAAAACATATTGGCAAGGGCTCAGGAGATGGCTCAGTGGAATAAGTGCTTGCCTGGCAAGTGAAGGTCCTGAGTTCAATCCCTGGTATCAGGGGAAAAAAAAAAAAAAAAAAAAAAAAAAAAAATATATATATATATATATATATATATATATATGTGTGTGTGTGTGTGTGTGCGCGCACGCGCACATGCGCGTGCTATTATTTCGTAAATTCTGGCAGGGCTCATAAATTCAGATGGGAGTAGAAGTATTAGAATGGCACTTTTCAATGGATACTTTAAATATGTAGCTTGACTTTTTTTTTGCATTACCAGGGCTCAACTCAGGCCGCTGCGCTGGTCAGGCAGGCGCTTATGCTGCTATCTCCCTGGTCCTACAGCTTGACTTTTGAACCATGTGAATATAATGTTTACAAATTAAAATTTTTCAGACTTTTTTGTAAGCAAACTAAAATTTATGCAAATAGAATTTTAATACAGCAGCAGTTTTATTGTCCTTGTTCTATTCTGTCAGTGGATTAAACCTGCCATCTGCCCCAGAATACCTGATATTTTGTAAAACACTTTCCTCTGTCATACGTACTCATTAATCTTTTCCTCCTCTATTCCCATTCTTATTTATACCTTAATTGTATTACTTACAGTGAGAAGATACATTCAAGGATGAGAAGGCTGTGAAAGACTCAACAAATTGAAATTGCACTGCAGTGTTTTCCTGATTTTTTGGAGATCCCCATCTTGCAGACCGTAACAGATAAGCCATCTCCCCTGCTTTGCTAGCAATGTTTATATTCTTCACTAGGCTCTCTCCTGAATGTTAAGAAACAACTGCAATGGCAGCCTCAGCCTCTCGATAATGAAGCCTCTCATAAAGGCTCCACTGGAATAGAACTTTTTTCAATTAATACTAATTTTTATGCTCATTTAGAATACTGCTCTTCTTGGATATGAGTCTGATTCGGAGTTGAGTATCTATTTACTGAAATTCAGTTTTAAGGCTTTAGACTATCCCCTGATTACAAATCAAGTTATCAGTCTTCCTGCACCAGCTCACTGGTTCATTTATTCTGGCCCAAAGCACCTAATATGGATTCCATAAGAGCAGGGAGGACAGCAGCCATGCACCAACGTCACAGGCTGGAACTGCCATGGGGACACGTTTGAATCTAAATTTAAAGCTATCAACCACATCAGCGATTCCATTACAGAGTGAATCAATTTAGCAAATCGATATGGAGGCATCTCTCATTTTAGCACTCTAGCAAAACAAAGAGTAACAATAAAGGTGTGTGTGCGTGGGGGGAGCTCAAGGAGGCCGGCACCAGGCACTGCAGCCCAGCTCCTGCAGCCCCCTTACCTGTGTCTGAACCCTGTCTTCATCACTTACGTGACTCTGGACCAGTTACTTAACCTAGCTGTATGTCAATTTCCTCCTTAGTAAGAAAATGGGAGTGACAGGGCTGATTTTCATGAGAAGTCCAAACACAAACTTCTTTTCCAGAGGAAATTGGAAAGAAGTGACTCCAAGGCCAACCTTTTCGTGTGCATCCAAATAACTGGAGAAGGTCATGGCATTTTTTAGTCCATTAAGTATTAGATATCTCTATATATGTGTATCTACACTGTAAGTACTCAGAGCAGCTCACAATAAATAGTGATTAGAATTTAACACATGCTAAAATTACAATTCTTGGAAATTCAAGTAGGAGGCAGAAATTATCTTAAATTGAAACAGGTTAAATGCATTTGCAGTAGTGAAACAGTCTCTTTTAAGAGAAGCTCAGTGACTGTCCTTTAAACACAGGAACAAGCACACTCTTTAGAAGCAATTCTTCGTACGAGCTCACCAAGAAACTATTGCTGAGCAGGTAGGATTTAAGTGTTCAAAACTCACACTGGTAGAAAATGATTTTTCAACAGGAAAAAACAACGCCTGAATAAAAACCAGCAAATTTCTGATTTCACCAAAGTGAGATTTTCAATTTTACTAAAAAAGATGGCATCAAATACCTCAAAAAGGGTTTTGTTCCCAAAGGGGAAAAAAGAATTTACAGAAACCATGTCATAAAAAACATTTTCCTAACAGAAAAGCAACTGTACATTTCCATGAATCTTTGTTTTATGAATTTTTTAGCGAAATTCCAGTTATTTAAAAAATGATCACACTCTTACTGTTGTAAGTCAATCTTCTAGCGAACTCGACCACAGGACCAATGTCCATTTTGAGCTATATAAAAATAAACATACCCATAAACTTTGACCCAACCCTCCAGAAAAAAAATCAGAACACAAAGAGAAAATGGACTTGGATCTTTAATTTTTTAAAGATTAACTATCTCTCTATATATATTAATAAAAAGTGCAAAGAATAGACCTTCGTGTTTAAATTATATTCTAAAATAAAATATATTTCCATTAATGCAGGAGACAACTGGCAAGTAAGGAGCCTGAGAGAGTCCAGTCCCTCTCCATCACTATAATGGACATACATTTCATGGAAGCACCTATGAAAAACAGCATGTTCACAACACACCCGGCAACACAGAGCTTCTGCATGTTCTTGAAAGCAGTTTGCTTGTATTTTCCACCTAACATGAAATGAGGAAAAGAATCAAACTTGTGAACAGAAATGACATTGCTTAGAGCAGCCTGGAGTCCTGAATTCCGGCATCACGTGGCCCGCAGCCTGGCACGTCCCACACAGCAGGTCGCTCACGTGGCGACCTCTGCTCTTGACACTGCTAGTTTAGCCACACGGCTGAAAATCTAGTTAGCGCTGACTTTTTTAGAAGGTAAACAAAAAGTAAACAAGTTTTTAGAAAGCGCATCATAGTATTCACTCCTGTCAAACAGAACTGAGCTTGTATTTTGGGCTGAATTTTCATTTACCAAAAGGTCTTAAAAACAAGGGCTCATGATTCCGCTTTCTTATTTACTTACGGCAATGGTGGCAACAAGATGCAGAAACACCAAAACTTCTAACAATAAAGACATATAACTCTGGATTTCTTTAAAAAAGAAATCTGGGATAGTTCAACAATTCAAATAAAAAAAAATGACATCTGTGCCTTCAGCAGCTATGAATCTACACATAGAAAGATGCAGCTTTTTTTTTAACTATTATTTTTTCATAACTGCAAAGAATTTCTACTTTAGGAAAGGTGTGTTCCATCCACCATGCCTGAAGTGTCACAGCTAGGAGACCAGCTACAGCGCATGCTGTCTCGCAAATGCCAGCACTGTGCTCCTTCCTGCTGGATCTGGGTGAGGCCAGTACGAAAATGCAGGAAAAGTACCAACAATCCTTTATGAATGTCTTGAGACTCAGAGGTCTATGGGTTCTCCTCTCTTTTCAGGCCTGTTATAAAAATAATTTTGGTTACCAGGGTCTACACAGCACCAATTTTATTTCAAAAGCAGCATCTTTACTCTGCCACCCAAAGGCATCTGTAAGTACACATGCCAAATAGCTTTTCTTTTTTACTTCCATAACTCTGAAAGATCAGTGATTGCATTAGTCTTTTTATTAATCAAAAATTATTCAGCAATTTTAAAACCATCAATTACAATGCCCTAAAAATACCCACATCGGCTGAATTAAATGGGAAGGTCCCCTCCATGCAACTGTATAATAAAAGCATTACGCCTGCAGTTGATAACACTGTGTTCTGTAATAACAGAAGAAACAGGTCTCTAATAGTAAAAAAGCATTTCATAAAACTTTTTCATATATAAAATATCTTATTGTGATCATTCCACTTACGACTAAAGCATAAGTGCTCACTCTGCCTTCCACTGTGTGACAATCAGTGGTCATACAACTTCAAAAAATAAGAGCGCATCTGTTTCCCAGGCTGACAAAACCCACGGGCTCCACTGCACTGCTTCTCTTTCAAACTCATCTGTACTCACTCGCACATACACCAAGCACCCATAGTTTCAGCCTTCGTGACACTTGCCACACTTTTATCCTATTTCCAAAAATCTGTCAGGAAAATGCGAATGCAAAACAACTGTTCTTGTCTCTACTCAGCCTGGCTCTGCATCGCTCAGTTTGGACATTCTGAAAGACAAGAGTCTGCAGCAGCAGCAGCAGGAGAGCAGGCTTCATTCGTCTTTCTCAAACCCTTTGGTTTCCATCTTTAATGTTACAGTGAATGTAGATTTGCCTCAGAAGGACTGAGTCAAAGGCTTTGCAGATACTGAACCTGAAGTGCGCTAAGAGAATAAACATCTGCCACATGGCACAGGAAAGGTGAAAAAGTAGCAAGAATAAACACAACTCCCCGATACATAAAGAACAAACAAACATAATCTAAAAATTCCCCAAGAAATTAAATTCACAGGCGGGGTGGAATCATTGACAAAGGTCAAAAGATCAAATGCAACTAGGTAATAATGACAATATCTGAAAAACACTTTACTTGCCTACCTTCTCCCTACCTGCCTTAGTAAAGTATTTCTCCAGTCTCCCACTATAAACATGGTGGACCCAAGAAAGAGACAGACTAAACAAAGGGATTACATCTGATTTAAAAAGAAACAGAGAACAAATACAGGAGGGCAAGTAAAGAACTGGCTTTCATAGGAAAAGTGCTTTACACACGCTTCTGCAAATAGTATGACTTGGGTGCAATTTGGAAGTTTTGACATCTATAGATTAGGCAGAGTCATTCTTCTCTGGAGGCAATTAAGTTGAAATGTAAAACAAGAACTTTCAATCCTTTCATCACCAAACCCCACAAAATGGGAAGCAAAACTCCCTTGGATTAAAATTTCCCACTTTTAATGCAAAGTGCAAGAACAAGGACTTCAAGTGGGTGGCAGGCAAATCACGGGGCCCGTTTGCCTGTATCCCCCACTGCATTCCTTAACACACACAGCGCAGATCACCTCAGCTCTGCTCTCCTGCCATGCATATCCAGTATTCAACTGGCTTCCTCATAAAATCAGTTCTCTATTCTCAACAGTTTAAATTAATGAAAAAGAAAAGAGATACATTCAATACGCAAAAATAACTCTGTAATCTGACATATTTCATGTTATATAAGTAATGACTTATATACTCTATAAGGAACATTAAAAGTGAGAGAGTAGCATATAAAGAGATCAGACTGCTCTACCAATACTTCCAGAATAATAAATTTTCCTGGAGTTTTAACTCCCATCTATTCTTTAAGATCCTAGCAGAGTTATAGGATTTTACTGAGTACCTGAGATCAGAATCAGGTTGCAAAATGCTTAAAATACTTAAAATTATTTCAAAAGGGAGAAATGAGAAAAAAAAAATCACTCAAGTTGAGAGGTAAGTTAACATATGAACAAAATAAGATTATTAGCTCAACATATGCTGACACAAGTCAAAGAGAAAAACTGAAACCAATGAGGAAAGGAGGGAGAGGAAGGCAGACAGGACAAACCAAAGGAGAAGTCGAAGTGCCAGTCCTTCCGTGAAGATTGTCTCCTGATATGAATACCGCACAGTGCCCGTGGAGGGGTTCTGCGCCTCACGCTCTCTCCACAAGCGCACCCAGGGGCAACAAAACCAAGTGGCAGGCGAACCCCAGCGAACACAGAAGTTGGCGATTTCATTGGTGTCTTTATGCAAGAGGGCACATGGACTGCAGGTGTGGCCAATTCTGCTGGTTGAGCTGAAGAAATCTGTGATAGAAAATACCAAAAAGAGCCCCCTACCCATTCTAGGGGAAAAATATACAAAATCCCTCCCAAAGGTAAACAAACAAAGCAAAACAAAGCAACAGCCTTCTCCCTCCTAAAGAAAACCACACTGGAAACAAATGCCCTGCAAGAGTTCTCATGTGTGTTTTTACAAGGCTGGTAGAGGTTATTTCGTTTTCGATTCCACATAAATTTTATCTCCATCCCTAATGCCAAAAGAATGCAATGCCCGAGAGCTGTACTTCATTTCCTCTGGGCCAAAGGGTGCTTCCTGGTCAAAATAGTAGAGACGCATGTTGCTCATGGGTAGCTGCACCAGAGTTTTTAACTGTTTCTTTAGTTCTGCAACTGTTTGGTCCAGACGGATGCTCATTTCCTCCACTTGGTCGTTAAAGTGGACCTCGACTTTTGCACTGCTCTGGGGTCTTAGGTCCACTTCTGCCAAAGGCTCCAACCTCCCATATTTTGTGATCAGCTCGTGATACCTAGAAGGATGAAAACAACAGTTAAACTACCAGCTTGCCATCCATGGGCTCCTTCTGAACTACAGTAACCTACACTGTTACTTGCAACTTTCAACTGTCTTTTTCTCATAGTACCCCTCTATCTCTGCATCGGACTCTATGTACATACCTAGCTACTGAATGACTACCGTGTTTTCTTTGACCTGATACAGCTGCTCTGTTGAGGCCTCCGTAAAAACATCCTTGAAGAGAGAGGAAGCATTTCTCCGGAAGATACTCAACCCCTGCGTTTCACTAAGGTAAGCTTAGAAAGAAACAACCTAGAAAAGCAAACGCTACAAAGGTAAGCGTGAGAAGCTGCTTTTCTCCACAGAGCTGGCACTCGTGTGTGTCATGCCGAAGGCAGCTAAGCACATGCTTACAGACGGAGGACAGCAGCGGAGTCCAAGGCAGAAGTCCTAGCTCGCGGATGAAAACATGGATGCTAGCTGCTAACCCAACTCTTTCAGGAAACTCTGGTCTGAATGTTCGATCTAGCTTCAGGTGTCAATGCAAGGAATTTATGGATGAGTCTTAGGGGGAAAAAATCTGAAGAAAAGAGAATATACGTTCTTTTACCAAAGCATGGATAAAAAGCAAAGTGCACCCAGAGCAAAGTGAATTACAGACATGACAACAGGCCCACAAGGCCATTTCTGCGTGGAAATGTAAATGCAGGTCTGATTTTATTGAATTTTGTGCAGTCTCCTACTACCAGAGAGGGAAAAATAATAAAAGATTTAATATTAGTTTTATTATAACTAAGAAACATTGAGGTTAATTAAGAATCAGAATACCACAGTCACGGAAGACTTATTATTCTCAAACCTCTCCCACTCTACTTTTGGCTTTTACTTAGTAAAAGCAGTGTCATAACAAGGTTTGTAAGAACATTAATGACATGGTAAGACATCTGTGCTTAGAGAAGGAGGTGATCATTTCCTTTAAATGGAGAAATAGGGTCTGGTAAAAAAAAAAATAGCACTGGCTCTGCCTTCAGAGTCTTGACTCCATCTCACAATTAGCTGTGTGACTTGCGATGCACTCAATTCTTTTCAATCTGTTCTCTCATTAGTAGAATTGGGGTAAGTCTTGTCCTTCCTATTGTATAAGATAGCCTTTGATATTAAATAAAATAGAAGATTAGTAAACATAACTTTATTAATATAAATTACTAATTATACATTTACTAATATAAGCTCATATACAAATAAATATTAGCCTACATCTCTACTGCTCTGCGGCTCATATTATTTAAGTAGATGCACCCCTCAGAAAATATAATACTGAAATCTCCTTAGATGGGCCTTCTGAGGGAAGGTATTGATTGGTATGATCAAATGTAGTATATCATCTGCTCCCAAAATCTGAATCAGAAACAGTATTTTTAAAAGGGATAAGAAAAATCACAAGCAGTAACAGAAGAAATAATCTTTTGTCACAACCTTTTAAAAGGAACTGAAACTTCTACCCTATTTGGTACAGTTAATCAAAGATCTGCACCCCATTCCACAAACCAGAGGGGAGAACAAAAGCAGAGAAACCAGGAATACTGACCACATGCTTCCTTATTAAGGAACACTGGACCAAGAAGCTACAGAGTCGCCCAGACCATGGAAAAACCAGGTTGGAGGAAACCCTGCGGACCAGCAGCTTCTGCATCCCACTGTAGCAAAGGCAAACAAACCAAACCAAAAAGAAGGCAAAAGGCCCAAACAGTTACAAATGAAACTACCGTGACTAAAAATGACCTAAGGCTCCAAACTAAAAAGATGAAATGATTCACAGTTTAAAAATATTTTCCCCACCCAATCTCTTAGCATAAGCTTTCATTTAAGTGAAAGTAGATAAAGATCATTTTGTTTAAATCTCATTAAAGACAGCAGAAGCCACATGGTCAAATGTCAGTTGAACACTAACTCCAGAGACGTTCTCCCTTCAAATCACAGAAAAGCAATAGGACCCCGGAAGAGTTTCACCTGGGAGGGACAAAATAAGAATGGGAAAGACTCCAGGAGAGTTAACTTACACTGTGTTTTAGCACAGAGACAGTCTGAACAGAAGTGCCCACTTTTTTTGTTTTTGTTTTTGGGTTCTGGGGATAGAACTCAGGACCTTACACTTGCCAGGCAGGTGTTTATGCCACTGAGCAATCTCCCCAGCTGTAAGGGCCCACTTTAAAAAAAAAAAAATCCATAAAGTATCATAACAAAATAGAGTAACAACATTTAACACACTTAAAAAGTAGTTACAGTACAAGACACAGACTAAGAAGAGTCCCTCTTACAAAGAATGAACAAACATAAATAGCACAAAACTTTCTTTTCAATAAAACAAACTAGTATAAATGAATCAAATTAGCATATATATTAAGATATTTCTGAAAGAATGGCATAGGTAATTTGGGGTAATTATGTGAACTTTCCTCTACTTCCTATTTGTCTATTTTCCATTTTGTTCTTTATCTGTAGATATATTTTTTGAGCTTCTCATTGGAGAAATCATCCATTTACCTACAAATACCTCATTGATTTTTCTTCGTGGCACAGCAGTACCCCTTTATGTATAAATACATTTTCCTAATCCATTCACAAGTACATCCAACATATATGCTATTTCCAAGATCTGCTAAGTTGTGCTGCTCCTAAAATTTGTGCTGTTATACTTATTAAACACTGTGTTGCTATAAACATGGGTGTGTGTGCATCCCTGTTATAGAATGACTATAATTCTCTTGGGATAATACTTAAAAGGGGGATAACTGCATCAATGGAATTCCTACTTTTAGTTTTCTGAGGACTCTCCACACTGCTTCCAAGTGGCTGTAGTAGCTTACGTTCCCACCTACACTGCACAAGCTTCTTTGTCCCCACGTCCTTCTCAGATTTTGTTATAGATTTTTTTTTATGATACCCATTCTTTCTAAGACTAAGGTGGTATCTGAGTGTAGTTTTAATTTTCATTTCTTGGATGGCCAGAGATGTTGAACATTCTTTCATGTATTTATTGGCCATTTGTAGAGAATTCCCTTCTTTTAGGCATAAATAAGACACAAAATAGCAGCTAAGTGCATACCACAGCAGAAACAAGAGGAACACATAAGTAGAAAGCAGATGCAGAACTTAGTCTAAAAGAACAGACAACTGAGGGAAAAAAAGAACTATACTCTTAAGTTCTAGAAACTATTAACTGTATGAATATAGAAAAACAAGAGCTCAAAGACAAATGAGAAACTGTAGAATGAGATGAGAAGTGAGAGCACAGAGCTAATGACACACACGGAAGAGCAAAACAATCATTAACGACCAAATAAATACATTAGAAAGGATGACACAGAATATATTTAGCTTAGTTCTGTTCAGAAATAAATTTAACAAACATACTCTGAAACAATGAAGAATTTAAGGAGTAGAACGTCCATGAGTCCTTTTAGAGGAAAACAAAAACAAAATTATTCAATAATAATATTAAAGGGCTAGAAAAGGGCTTGAATCTAAATAGCACACTAACCTTCATAGTAACACCAATTCTTGGACTCATTTATGCTTGACACTATAGCCAACTATATCAGTCTCAATCACAGGTATGTTTGCACACAAAATTATGACCCATGTGCAGAAAGTAGCACAGTTGCTGTAATGAACACATAAATCTACAAATTACATGACCTATAAATTGGTACACAGTAACGTTCTAGAGTTTTCTCAAAATCAGTATGCTCAGAAATAGCTGATGCTATTCCCAATTATCTTCTCCCAGTCTTTTAAGTATTAGTAAAATCTACCTAAGCACCTACTCAGAAGCCAGGTGGCCATTCCAGCTCCTTCTGCACTTCTCGCATTCCAGCAATGAGCATGTCTTGCTAGCTCTCCATCTCAATCATTAATCCATTCACATTTCTCATCTAGTTGTCTTATAAATGTAATTATCATCATAATTTTGATTGCTCTTGTTTTCTATGGATACACAAGCTAGATCAGCTTTCTTAGTTTGTTCCAACCTCTCCAGATAGGGCTTCCTGTACAGGAAACACTGGAAAGCCCTGAAATCTATTGTCCTACGCTACATTGCAGATAAAACCTAGTGTCTACAAATCCTGGCCAGCTCTAGGTTTTGAAAGAGGTAGTGAAGTTAGCAGACACAGTGTGGAACAGTTTGGGGACAGGCTTCCTAACTGCCAGATGTAAGTGCACTCAGTCTTGTTCTTGAGCTAAAGCCCCAGCAGCCAGTCACAGCTAAGGCCACCAGCAAGGACGGCATCCCACCGTTCTGCTCTGGCAGAGGCCGCTGTGTCCTGGCAGCCAGGTTCGTGTGTGTGGGATGACCTATTACTGAGGCAATTCTAGGGAGGCAACCTAAGTCTGCTCTTCTATGTCTTCCAAAGGTTTTGTCACTACTTTGTTCACTGTGTGAAATTCTTATCTAAAATAGCCAATGACTTTTCCATGACTTCAGGGTAGCTTCAAGACTACCCTCGTCTATTCTATTGCCAAAGTAATAATTCCAAAACACAAATTTGATGACCTCTCTCCTCTTCTTAAATATACAATAACTATCAAAATAAAAGCTAAATTATTTTATATGATTGGAAATTCTGTGGAGGCAGAATTTCTACCTCCACATCTGGATGTCCCTGATCCGAAATCAGAGATGTTTCTCTACCTAGAAGCAGAAGACAAAAACAGAGATTTCCAGCTGGTAGAATGAGAAGGCTCTAATGCACCATTCCTGGCTTGAAAATGGAGGGGACCACATGGGAAGTGCTGCTCTCATCTTGAACAAGCCTTGAGGGAGATTCTTCTCCAGCATCTCCAATAAGAAAATCTGCCCCGCCGACACCTTGCCCTGGGCCTTGTGAGAACCTAATTACGGGACCAGCTACACCAAAGCATACTGAGCTCAGAGACTGTGAACAGGGTAAACAGGTGCTGCTCTAAGATACTATGTTTATAGTGATTTTTACAACAGTGATTAAAAACTAA